CAGAACCCATAAACCAACACCAACCATTTTAGTCGCCCTGTAGCCCCGGGTATCCTGCCCCGCCCACCCCGCTGCTCACCTAAATATTGTCGCCATTTATATAACGCCATCAACAGACGTGTCAAATGTCACCTGTCACCTGCAACTATCAAGATAATAATTCGCCTGCAAAGTATCGACTTGCCGGCCCGAGCAATAATACATAAGAAATATCGATTTGCCTTCCTTAAATCACTCCGCCTAAAAATACCCACACGCCGACATACCGACAATGAGTCACCAGTTGCTATGGAGACAATGCAAAATATCGATTTATACACTATGTGTCTTTCCCCGCCCGGGAAAACCAGTCACGGGTGCCCTCATCAACCGCCCGATCGATATTTACTAAGGATAAAGACGCTGGCGGTTGCAACCGCCGGGAAAAAAGCCAATCACTTGTGCAGTCAAATGGCCGCCATCTTTTACTAAGGATAAAGAAGGCCGCTGAGCACAAAATCGATACAAATGATACCTCAAAACGACTTAAACACTATTCAGGTCTCCGTCTAGTGTAGTAGTGGTTTTGTGGTCTCACTAATATCAGGTTGTACCCCGATGACGTGGTTTTTTGGTCTCACTGATATCAGGTTGTACCCCTATGCCGTTGTTTTGTGGTCTCACTAATATCAGGTTGTACCAATATGCCGTGGTTTTGTGGCCTCACTGATATCAGATCGTAGCCCAGTGCCGTAGTTGTATGGTCTCACTGATACCAGGTTGTAGCCCAGTGTCGTGGTTTTGTGGCTGCATTGTCACTAGATGGCCGAAAAATTTAATTCTTTGTCTGATAATATAGTGCAGATATGGTTTGATTTCAGCTTTCTCTCTAATGCTGGTATGCCTAACCCTGTCTCTTAATATGTTGTTAGTGACCTTGTGGAAGCAGGGCATTTGACATGAATTTATTTTCAGTGTTCGTGCCCTATTCAGTGTCTATATTTGGCATTGACAGCATAAAGTAGGATTGAAGTTGCTATTAATCATTTGTTGTTTTGCCGGAAGGGAATCATTTGGTGTCTACGCAGTGAGGCTAACCGGTAGGTGACAACATTTGCCTTCTCTGCTCTGATGAGATGGGAAACCACTTTGTCATTCCTTCTGTTGTTCTGACTGTGCACTGACAATCTTGATAAAAATCTATGATCTTCTTCTTCTCCTTCGCGTTCATCTGCTGTAAAATCCCGCGAAAGGTGCTGGTTGATCATTCACCTCTGTATTTTACACTTGTTCCGGAACCAGAGTGTTGCGTGCAGATACGTTTTACATATCTGACATATTTTGTGCAAACTGTTGGTTATTTGCCTCACAGACAGATGCACTCTGACTTCGAAGGAAAACTTCAGTGTCGACTCTTACGACATGCTTGTTGGGAAGGCAGTGGGTCTATTCTCGTTTTCCCTACAATGGAGATCCATATTGTTACCCAGCAGTTGATCTTGAATACCAGTCTTCTAGAATTTTCCAAAGTCTTCATCTATTGACTCCATCGAATGCTTTCACTTGATCTTTAAACTTTAGGTGTTGACTGTTATCATCATCCATAGACTGCTCGCATATCTCCAGTTCCAGGGTACTAATGTCGGGGGGGGGGGGGGGGAGGATAGATCCACTGTCCTCTAACAAGCATGTCGCAAAAACCAACTAATTATGGCCGTATCCTTCCAAGTGTTAGTTTTTCTGACTGAGAGGCGAACAGCCAACAGTCTGCACACAAGTGAGCCTAACATGCAAAAAAGATGTGCACGCAAAACTAAAGTTATTGAACAAGACAAAAAATCAGACGTGGACAAACAACGAGAATGTTAAATCGGAGTTAAATTATGTAGTACGCCAAGAAGAGAGAAGAGAAGCTCCTGTGTGCAGCATCTCTGCGATTGTGCCACATGGCAAACCAGTCTCATCCCGCCCTCCCCCCCCCCCCCCCCAGATTTAGGATATGATGATTGACGTGATAAGGATGATGACGCACATACATATTTAGATTGTGTTTCTAGTTTCTATTCATTTCTTGCTTTTAGTTACACCCCCCCCCCTCCCCCCCCCCCAATTCCTTTCCGACGCCCATTTTTTTCAGCTCCAACATTGTTTAAGCGTGGCCTGAGCCACTGCCACCTTCTTGTCAGAAAACACGCAGCAGGGCCCTGCCCTCTCCAGTGGCAACCATGTATAGTTCTCTATTTTAGTTTAAGTTTCCACCTTCGTTGAATTTCCGATATAATTTAATATTTATTTGCAATTCATCACTTAGTAATAACAATTATTATTATTATCACGAATCATCATTATTATTATTTATTGCGTGCTTCAACAAAGCGAAATTTTGACTATATGAAGACGCCCACTCCCATCCCTTCACTCGCAATGAAATCTATGGGGCACCTGCGCTACCCCAACCCTCAATATTTTCTTCTTTTCGGAACCCTTTATTCAGCGAAATGAAGGTTGTCAAGTATAGATTGTCTGCAAAACGGAACGTAATGCACGTTGTTAAGTATAGATTGTCTGCAAAACGGAACGTAATGCACGTTGTTAAGTATAGATTGTCTGCAAAACGGAACGTAATGCACGTTGTTAAGTATAGATTGTCTGCAAAACGGAACGTAATGCACGTTGTTAAGTATAGATTGTCTGCAAAACGGAACGTAATGCACGTTGTTAAGTATAGATTGTCTGCAAAACGGAACGTAATGCACGATCACAACTGCTGCCTGTGCAATGTGTCCCTGAACTTTGACCTGTAAAAGAAACCCGCTTATTATTACTGCTGACAGAGAGAGCTGGATGAACATAACATCAATTTGAAACAGGGTAGAAACGAGGCTTTAAACTGAGACAATAAAGGTTGCGTATGTAGGCCAGGGATCTTCAGTTTGTTTACAACCAGAGAAGTGAAAATCGTGAAACGATGTTTCTCGGAGGGGTAGGCGTCTATTATGGAAACTAAACAAAACACACATGTAGAGAGCACTACACCTTATTTAATGCTTTGCTGGGGCGGAAAGGTAAGAGGGTCCTTCGATTATTGCAGTCTGTAGGATTAACACACAAGGACGAGAATCAATCAGGTACAAGTCCCTGAAGCCTCGTCAAACAATATAGCTATACAACAATTATACTGGGGCAGCACACAAGGGTTATCAAGCAGTCTAGTCTCTGAGTCTTGAAAGGTGCGTATAAAAAGATTATGTATATATATGTAATGTGGTAATGTTGATGGGCTTTCAGGCACATTTCTCAGAACAGTGCCCATTCGCGGACCAGAGGTGGAAGAACACACATGTAGTTAATCTGTGAGAACCGGCAAGTGTGCAGGGACTTGTAACATTCAGCTATTTCACCTAGGAAATAATATGCCTACAGTCTAACTGGTGACGCATGGTAGTTTAAAACAGTGTGGGTTTTCTGCTGATGTGTAACTGCGACTTTGTGAAGCAAATTGCTAATTCGGAATGTTCTGTTAGCTTGTTGTCAACCTTAGTGTGCTGAATGAAGACTGGGGATGTGATAGTTATTGTAGTTTAATGTTAAAGCTGCCGTTTATTTGCATGTAAACACGTTATATTTTATATTATTTTATATTATATAACTAAGAAATATATTGTATGCACGTTTGTGCTCTACGCTACTGTATCAACAAACAAAACGTATGGAGAGATTTAGGGTGGGGGGTGAGGAGTTGCCTAGTCTTTTAAACATTTTTGTGTGCAGGATTAATTGATAAAAATCCGCAGATTTTCATCTACAATTATTAACATTATCAAATGATTTGCCACGTTTGAGAGAGTGATTCACACTTTAGGGTTGTCAAGTCAAATTCAGCCCTTTTGCGAACTAAATTCACTAGTTTACAAATCAAATAGATAAACCAAAATGCTCAATTTCGACATTAGGTTGAACTGTATATTATTGTTGCGATAGATCATTTAAGAGTAGTCGAAAACCTTGATCTGCCAAAGAATGAATTTGATCTGAGAAAGAGTGAATTTTATTTGCGAAAGAGTGAATTTGCCTTCAAAGTTCAGTTAAAGTAAAATGTAAAGTTCCTATTTTAGGCCTGTGTTTTATCTGGCATAGTATGCTAGACTGGTATTTGCATTGGCCAGTCGGCACTCGATGGAGCCATAAACCATTCTGATCTCTTTTATTTCTCTAAACTTCCATACCCATTTTTGTTTGGGTCGTTCTAGGAACAAACGTCCATTTTTTCAGATTTGCTCACTGCGGATTCGAACCTAGGATCTTCGTTTTAATAAGTATTTCGTGTGTATTATCACAGAGGGCTTGTTTCCTGTAGAATGGGTGCCCTTATGCTTAACGCAAAATGTATAAAAATGTGTTGGTACTTGATATCAAGTCTACTGTAGTAGCGCTGAAAAACAAAAACAAAATATAACAAATGTATGTGTTCTAGCTCAAAATAGTCGGTGTTTTCATAAATACGCAATAAAACGGTCACATTTAACGAACAATTTTACTGAGTAGAATTATTGTATTTCTAAAACTCAAAAAATGTGAATTTAATCTGCACAAAGGCTTACCTGATTTGCAAAATTTAGACGAATGTGATTTTGAAAAATTTGAATGTGATGTCTATCTTTTTATCTTCTTTTATCCCACCAGGACGTCACACAAGCGATAAACAGCAGATGACACAAAGTTCCACCATGCGGATGAGGATCACCCGTGTAGAGGTCCCAGAAACCGCGTTTATTAGACCATATTTAGGGCAGGGCTATATTGCGGCCCCCGGCAAGAGCCAGAGTAGGGCTTCAAGTAATGAAAAATTTCATATTTTAATATTTTTAAATGTGATGTGCAAAATGAGTAATTTGACATCCCAATCGTGTCTGTGTTAGTAACTATTGTAGGCTTAATCAATTTTCACTTTTTAAATCATGTTTTCCTCAGATTGCTCGTAAGAAATCAAATAATTGAGAAGACTCCATTGATCAAATGAAATGGACCTGCTTCTAGTGCTAGTGACTCTCGTTCTTGTGTTGCTCATATACTTTGGGTTGCTACGTCATGATCCAAGATTACCGCCTTGTCCTTCAAGGCCGCTTCCAATCATTGGCAATCTGCTTGTCCTACAACCTGATAGCAGAGCTCAGTTCCGAAAATGGCGACAAGAATTTGGCGACTTATTCAGGTAACTCAGATGAGATTGCTTCAAAACGTTACCAGAAAAGTGGAGTCATGTTGGAATTAGTAATTATGTCAAAAAGATTATAATGTTATACACTGATGGCGACCTTGGGGAAACATCACGGCAGACGTGACTTTCGTGTGTGTTCTCGAACAGAAGTGACAGGGTTTGTGTCTTGTGCACGTCGCATTGTCTGAGCAGAAGTGACAGGGTTTGTGTCTTGTGCACGTCGCATTGTCTGAGCAGAAGTGACAGGGTTTGTGTCTTGTGCACGTCGCATTGTCTGAGCAGAAGTGACAGTGTTTGTGTCTTGTGCACGTCGCATTGTCTGAGCAGAAGTGACAGTGTTTGTGTCTTGTGCACGTTGCATCGTCTGAACAGAATCACACTAAATACACGTGAAGGCAACTATGGTCTTCAAGTCCCATACTTTAACTGTAAAGGACTTTCCTGTACGCGAGCGTATCTTCCTAGTCGCATGTTTGCGATCTCCATGGCCTGTGATTGCCATCCATCACTGCAGCGTAATATAACACCACTGTCTGGAGAGACGAAATGGTGCCAACAACGGACATGAGCTCAGTGACGTTTGCCTCGCGGTCAGAAGTAGAGAAGAATTACATTTCTGGTGTTTGACTCTCCTAACGGTTACCTTACGCATTTAATACGTATATATGCTAGTGGCTTTGCTGAAATTGCAATCTCTGTCAGTTACTATTATTGTTATTATTTACAAGAGACAGTGATGCACATACTGTTTGGTTTTCCTTGACACAGGAACGGAACAATTATGGGTTGAACCATTTTCTATGTGCTGTGTGGTGATGAAGACTTTCAGCGGCAACAATCATTTTATCATTTGTCATTGAGTTTTATTGCAAAGCTTATTATTATTATTATTTTATGTAAACTGATCGTTTCCTGAAGAAATGGGTGCAGAGTCGGTTTTTGGTTCGCGGGGAAAGATATATCGGAGATCCATGAGAATCGTAGCTGGGTCTATGGTATGTCATGCATTTTTTAAACGTTTTCGGTGAGCACATAACAGCACTGTGAAGACAGGCTAACCCATAGGGGACAATGCCCACTACGATGAAGTCCATCCTGTTGTTGTTGTTAAACACCTTTAAGATATAACACTGAGTTCACTATTGTGATGTGTTAACTGACGATAGCCTGTTGTAACAATAATGCAAACTTTTTTTTTTTTGTTACTTGATGTTTTGAGGTTTCTGCTTGTTACGTTGCAGTTTTTACATGGGGCGACAGTTAAACGTTGTCGTCAGCGGCCATGCAAACATCAAAGAACTGTTGCTGAAGAAAGGCGACGACTGCTTGGACAGACCTCGAATGTTTTTTGACGAGGTGAGAATGAATCCACGTTGAATCTGACTGACTTTATGAGAGGAACTGGATGTTGTAGAATATGATAGATGTCCCATACCAGTGTTCATATTTGGATGAATGACACTGAGAACGACAAATACAATAACTTCCTCTTCTTTAACTTCCTCTTTCTCCTCCGCAGAATCATAGCCCCAAACAGACACCTGTCAACTTGTACTATCTTTTGATACAGCATGCACTTGACCACGTATTTTTCCTATCTTTTCTCCTTGTGTGTTTTCTTTTCTTTCCGGATTTTTTTTTTTTTCGACTTCTTGGGTTCAGCATGACGGAAATTCTAGCTATAATGTTATCAGCTTCTCTCAGATTAGTTAACATTATTTTAATGTCCAGGTTAACGGGGTTTGGTTTGATTGTATATAGTTAAGGGACAAATTATCTTCTAACAGACACTGCCGACTAGTTTGGACTGCTAGGACAACCCGTGCTGGAATAGTTTATAAAGGATATTCAGGGCATACTCTATTCATACTGTTTATCTTGTTGATGCGTGGTGCTGTGAGAAGATGGCAACATGCCAAACGTAACTGTGTCGCCCAGCCTGGTCAGATCTTGAGCCTGCAGAGAAACATGGACATAAAAGTCAGCTCCTTTAAAACAAATTGTTTACTGAGGTTAAACGTGAGAAGTGGACAGAAGTTTGTCACAGAATAAGCAGAGATAAACCACTGAAGCTGTTCTGGCGACTACGTAAAAGTATGATCGGTGCCCTCACAAATAAGAGCATTCCTGACTTCAAGTGCTCCGACCTCACCTGGCAGAGGTCCGACGAAAATAAGGGCAAGGAGTTATTAGAACACTTTCTACAACAGAGCAGCCAGACCGATATGATAGGACACAGTTTTGCCAAAGCTATTACCTCAGATAGGTGTAAGTCACAGACGTTTGCAGACGGTGATATTGTGACAGAGGATGAGATCAAGGCTGTGCTACGACGAACAAATAATTGTGCACCAGGTCCAGATGGTATAAGATATGATGACATTAGTAGATGTACTGAAGATGAGCTAAAAGAGCTAGCAGATATGTACAACAATAGTATTGTGAGTGCTAGTATCAGTGAAGAGTGGTTACACAGCTGCCTGATACCCCTACTAAAACCTGGCAAACATCACACAAAAATTCAGGGATATCGGATAATTACTATGTAAAATACTGTAGGCCAACTGTTAGAAAAGATTATCGCCAGAAAAATTTTACACCAGCTTCAGAGGCGAGGTCTTCTTTTAAATACCCTTGGAGGGTACCGTCCAAAGAGAGAAACATGAATGAATTCTGCGGTTTTTGCTCATGAAGTATATGAAGGCTTCCACTCATGTATTGACACGTGTGCTGCGGCAGCTGATCTTGAGGATGTGCACAACAGAGTATCGTCAGGGTAAGGGTAAAGAAAAGGATGTTGAAGAACTACAAAAAGAGCTTAATCGCATAAGCACTTGGTGTGGTGAAGCTGGTGCACTGGTCAACCCAGTAAAGCGGCAGTGACATGGTTCTCTTTGAAAAACAATATTTTGAAAACTCCAACACCAGTTGTTAGTCTGTGTTCTGAAGTTGTGGAAAGAAAGAATGCAATGAAATACCTGGGGATACATTTTGATCGAAGCCTTGCTTATACTGAGCACATAGATAAAATTTTAATGAAAGCCAAGCGGGGTCTGGCTGCGATGAGAGTGATAGCGGCGGCAAACTGTGAGCAGCGTCATCTATGTCTTCTTTACCAAGGTCTGGTCCATTTCTGTTTTTGAATACGCCATAAGCAGATTGGAAGGATGGAAAGGATACAGAACGAGGCTATGCGCATTATACTTGGGTGTACAAGAGATACAACATGCAGGGCTATGCGCTACCTTCTCGATTTTCCGACTATGGAAGCCAGAATACAAATTTCCCGAGCTCTTGCTTACCTCACAGTCAAGCCGGACACACAATATCCATTACATAGTCACATCAAAGAGATAAAAGGCAGCAGGTTAAAAAGAGGCAAATCGTGGATGGGTCAAGCCGAGGACATTATTTTACAGGAATTTTAACTTGAGGACATAGAGCCCGGCGAGGAGTGTGTGTAAGTGCCTTCAGAGTTCTGTACATCTGTTTTTGTTTTCATCCAACTAGACAGAAAATGCGGACACCAGAGTCCGGCTGCTCAGGAAGATAGAGAAGGACTGGGTCCAAAGGCAGTGGCTGATGGGTTACAAGGAAATGAGCAAGCTGATAGGCTAGCAGGTATGGCTGCTGTGAAAGCCGGACACGTCATGAACCAGTCTGATATATTGAATGCCCTAGGAGAGTTAAGACGTTTGCGTGAACCAACTGAGAAATGTGAATCTGCAACCATGGTCAGACTGCAAGAACAACATGCTAAACGGGGTGTCGCCAAAGAAGAACATTACTCGGGCGGCCAAAGAAGAATAATAAACCAACACAGAACTGGTGTCGTTAGCCGCTACACGCTGCAGGATTTACTGAGGAGAGTATCCGAGCACTTATGGACTGAGTTGTTAGACGTGCAATTATGAAAATCTGTCGACTAACTAACAAACTAACTTGTTGATGTTTGTGTTTCTTTTGTTTCATCAATGTTAATTTTTTTGTCACATTCCTAGGCTACGGGGCTACCACAGAAAGGGGTCGTCATGAGTGCCGGTCCTGAATGGAAAGAGCAAAGGGCAGTGATGTTATCTATTCTGAAGGACATTGGAATGGGCAAGAACCTATTGGCCGAGAAGATACAAGAGGAGATTCAGAACTACACGGAAGTCCTGGCTGGTCTAGGAGGCCAGCCAACCAATCTCAGGGTGATCACTAATCTGAGCACCTCAAATATCGTCTGCTCTGTTGCTGTGGGGCGTAGGTTCGAGTACGATGACGCCGATTTTCGGGAGATGATGACCACATTGGACCACATTGCTGAAGATTTGAGCATCAGCAACATGATTACATATTTTCCCTTGTTAAAATACATTCCTGGGGACATATTTAGGGCCAATAGAATTCAGTCATCTATTAAGAAGGTCATGAGTTTAGTTGTCAAACATTTTTTGCAGTCCGGGGGTGAGTCTCCGGATACTTTTATTTCCGTATACATGAAAGAGTGTCAGCGCAGACGTCAAGCAGGGGAGACTACAACAATGAGTGAGGATAACTTGGCTAAAATCATCTTTGATTTGTTTATCGCGGGAACGGAAACAGCAGCCACAACCATCCTTTGGTGTATTCTCTACTCCTTAAACTACCCAGAGGTCCAGCAGAAAATTTATGATGAAATTGAAAGAGAGGTCGGGAACGAGCGATTGCCTTCCATGCAGGACAAAAACAAGTTGGTCTATCTCAATGCTTTCATAATGGAGTCTCAAAGACTGTCCAGCATAACGGCTCTATTCTTCCCCAGAATGTGTACGTCTGATATTTCTATAGCAGGCTACACTCTCCCAAAGGGAGCTGCCGTTCACGCTAACTTGGATTCTATATCCTACGATGAGAAGATATGGGGCGACAACGTGCATGTTTTGGTGCCAGAAAGGTTTATAGATGAGAATGGAAAGCTGAAGGTACCTGAAGAATTCTGTCCTTTCGGGATAGGCAAACGAGCGTGCCCTGGAGAAAGCTGGGCCAAAACGCTTCTGTTTCTGTATCTTGCAGCGATGTTTCAGAGATTCAAGTTCCTCTCCCCCACTGATGGTTCACCTCCTCCAGCCGACTACGTCTTTGGAACAGATGTTTGTCCTGTTCCTTATGAGGTCCGAGTTATCGACAGGAGAGCGGAGAAATAAGAACAGAAATAAAAGGTTGGAAAAACCAGTCAGTTATTTCTATAATGATCAAAAAACTTGTTAGGCCACGAAAGTACAGTTAACGTCTAATCGACATTTTCTGCGTTAAATAGAGCGTGCAGATATGGATGAACGGCTAGGGGATTCATAAATCTACGTCACAGAGCTAGCATCATCGGGTTGGGAACATCTGTTGGCTACAGAAGTAGGAGACGGAGCACATATGTGAATGTCCCGAGAGCAGATAAATCAATTCATTGTTACTTCAAACGCAAGGTCGTTCACCTCATATAATCATGAACCTGTTCTGGCATTATACCGCAGTATATTCTTCTATCCTGTTCTGGCATTTTACCTCAGTGAATTCTTTAATCCAGTTCTGGCATTTTATCTCAGTATATTCTTCCATCCTGTTCTGACAATATATCTCAGTATAATCTTCCATCCTGTTCTGACAATATATCTCAGTATATTCTTCCATCCTGTTCTGGCATTATACCGCAGTATATTCTTCTATCCTGTTCTGGCATTTTACCTCAGTGAATTCTTCCATCCAGTTCTGGCTTTCTATCTCAGTATATTTTTCCATCCTGTTTTGACAATATATCTCAGGATAATCTTCCATCCTGTTCTGACAATATATCTCAGTATAATCTTCCACCCTGTTCTAACAGTATATCTCAGTATATTCTTCCAACCTGTTCTGACATTATATTTCAGTATATTCTTCTAACTTGTTCTAGCATTATATCTCAGTATATTCTTCCATCCTGTTCTGACAATATATCTCAGTATATTCTTCCATCCAGTTCTGGCATTATACCTCATTGTATTCTTCCATCCTGTTCTGGCATTATATCTCAGTATATTCTTCTATCCTGTTCTGGCATTATATCTCTGTATATTCTTCCATCCTGTTCTATCCTGTGTGGTATTTTCTGAGTCACTGATGCATTCATTCTCAGCATCTCGGGCCTTCCTATTCAGCGTTCCTGCTGTCGGATGTTCTCGTTTCCTTGATCCCTTTGTTTTTCATTTCGGGCCACTTGATATACTTTGTGTGAACTCCAAACACACATTCAATATGGGGCTAGACAATTTTCATCACAATGAAACAGTTAGTGTAAATTCTAACATTCAGCGTTTTGCTAAACTTTTCATTTTCAGGACGGGCTAAAACACAACGGAAATATTCAGGGGGCGGTGTCTAGGGGCCCAAAGCCTTATTTAAGTGTGAAATAATAATAGTCACATTAATAGTATATATGCATATTATTATTACTGAGTTGAATGGTAAAAAATATACTGTTCTTAAAATTATGTGAGCACTTCAATACACACAAGATTTTTCATGTCTGCTGGTATGACCTGTTTTGGGGCTGAGGGTAAAGAAAGGTGATGCACAGGATGTAGATTAGGACAGACAGCGATGACCAGGGGACATAATGAAACTGCCTACAGGCATTGAAACTCTAAACTAGCTGTTGAAGTTAAGGATTGAGTGCTCGTGGGATTGTCCCATGTGCTGTGATGTCAGTTCTTCATTCAGCTCAACCATTATAATATTGGAAAGAAGGGAATGTGATGGTTTTACAAATAATAATTGTTAAGCCCATCTTACCAACAGTTCACAGAGAACGACAAATACACTAAGTACTTAAACACTTGTTTGTTTATGTCATAGAAATAACAGGAAACAGATTTGTGTCACAATTAAAAAGGATTTGTTTTTATTGTTTTTAAAGTGAACTCAAGTCTACTTGTTTGTCTCACACATAAACTATATTTGCATATTGCATTGATCTCTGAGAATGGGGATAAATATTCAGTGAAACGTCCAAATATCACATGCTAGCTGTGTGTCACATACTCTTCTTCTCCAGGTTTACCAGCTATAAACTTGTTCTTGTTGTTTATCTGCTTCGGGACTTTAGTCTACATTATGTAGGGGTAAACATACTTCATGTGGAGGGGTATATGCCTGGGAAGAGAGGAAGAGGAAGGCCAAGGAGAAGATGGGTGCAGGATGTGGCAGATGATCTCCAGATGGGTGTATCAGACGCAGGACATCTTGCTCAAGATAGGAAGGTTTTCCGGAGGGTTGTTATGGCAGCGAGGTTCCGCGAGGGACATGCTACTGAATGAATGAAACATACTTCAGAATATTCGTTTGGGTACCGGAGCCACATTGTAGGCACAACAAGAAAAGATCCACTATCTCCCCAACAAGCATGTCATCAGATTCAAGTAACAGGCCTCCTTCAAAGACGGAGTGCATCTACCTGAGAGGCTTGGAACCAACAGGCTGCATACAAATAAGCCAGATACGTAAAATGAACGTTCACGCAAGCTAAGGTTTTGAAACAAGACTAACGTCTAGAGGTGGACTAACAGAACTTCCGCCAGAGGGTACAGCCGATGAATGCGAAGAAGACACTTCAGACTGAAACAAACCATTATCTCATTTTTTTTAAGGCAGCCGCCTGCGGATCAAACAATTATGGGTTATGGAGCTGTCGGAGCGAGATGTTCTTCAAAAATGACCTAAGCTCGTAGTTCGACCCATCTTGATCACATCACCTACCAATTGCCTGTTTGTCTATGAATAAAATATATAGGAAGGGATGACAACGTTTTTTTTTTTTTTTTTACATTTTGCCTTATTATAAAAGTTACACCTCTCGGGTTTTGTAATTTTCTGTCGTAGTGCTGACCATATTTAAAAGCTAAATTTTGTTTCCTTCTGAGAAAAAATTAAAAGTTCGACCACTTTCAGACTGCTGCTAGCTAGCCGAGGCTGCTTATTTGTGGTCTGGGTTATTTGCGTCACTTTCGTGACTAAATTCTAGTATTTGCGCCGTCTCTGGGCTTAATGCTTCCTTTCGAGTTAGACCGCTCCTCCACTACCCTGTTGTTAGCTATGTATTTCTTTCCTTTCCCTTCTTGGAGTCGGCTCTGTGGCTAAGTCGATGCGAACGCTTCGTAATGCCGGGATGCCCGGTTCGACCTCAGCTGCGGGCCATGCGTCTTGCGTTGGTTTCGACAGTGGTATCAAGAAAGACGACCGTCCAGAAACAATGGCAAACTACTGGACGTAAATTTGCCTAGAAAAGCCACACAACAGCCGACATGTAACATGAATAGCTACTGAAATTGTTGGATAATACGTAAAATATATCATGTGCATGTCAAAGAGATGTATGAGGTGTACTTGACTCTTACGATATACTTGCCAACTAGTACAATGGTTTCAACATCGTTGATTCAATCATCTCAGCAAATTTAGTCTTTCTTCACCTCAATGTTCAATTCAAGATAATGCTCGCTCAGAGGATTTGATCATTTACACAGACGGTTCAGTGTCAAGAGGCAAAAGAAGTGCTTGGGGCTTTTTAGCAAAAGTTAATTGTCGACGTTTGGTGCAGCAGAACCTAGCATATGATACCACAACATCCAGCTTAAGAATGGAGGTGGAGGCGGTCACTGCAGCTTTCCGCTGGCTAGAGAACACGACACACACACACATTGTAATTGTAACTGATTCAGAAAGCATGATGAGGGAGATCAGAACAGGTATGCTTCGTGCAGAGTGGCATGCTTCGCTGCGGAGGACACGAGTGAGGAGTATTGTCGGGATTTTTTCACTGGGTCACGCCGGTGTGTTGGGAAATGAACAGGCGGACAGACTGGCTGGCTCTGCACAACTTGGTGGAATACTGCTACATGATAGGGCAGATGTGGTTAGTGCCTTGTGGGAGAGGGTGTACAATGCGGAGGAGCAGATGGATCACCACAGTTTGGTGAGATTGATGCAGTTAGGGGTGACGAGAGGTTCTGGCAGAAGCTCAAGGCTCAGAGGAAAGGCAAGACGGACGTTTAATCAGAAAGCTACTGGCACCATTAGTATCGGAACTCTTCGCTGGCTGCTGAAGATGGAGACGGAACGCTTATGGGAATGCCCCGGGTGCAGTGATGTCGGTTCTTGAATCAAATCAAATCAAATGACCCCAATGTTAATCGTGAGATTTTCTTTGACAGCATCTTTTCCTGAATCCGTTTGTTTTCCAGTTCAATAATCTTGTTTATTATTCTTTCTTATTTCTGCCTCGGGATATGCCTGTTAAACCGCCAACTTTTGTGTCGGATATTAGTGGTTTTTCGGACATTCGTTTGATTTCTTCGCCTTTTTTTATTTTATCGTTTCATTTAAGTTTTATCTAATTCTTGAGATATTTGCTCTTGTATACATTTACTACGTCTTAGTAGAAAATATATTTATATAATCAGTACATTGACAGCGAGAATCTCAAATTCTAGCACTTTCGTATCGTCCCTTTATACCGAGGTGCCGCATTCTCTCCAGGCCATAATAATCTTCTTTCTCTACTGATTCCGTTGCTTGTTCCCAAAGGGCCTTGACCACATCTGCCTTGTCATGTATCAATTCACCACCCAGGGTGCGGGAAAAGCCAATCTGTCTGCCTGTTCATTACCCACCACGCCGGAATAGCCTGGAGAAAAAATCCAATGTATGCTCACAACCCGTGTCCTTTCAAGTGAACTACGAACTCCCAGTTACTTCTCTTTCCTCTCAACATTAAACCATCTGTGTAGATAATCAGATAACCTAGGCGTGAATTTGCGTGAATCAACTGTTGGACTTCCACCTCCGCTGGCCTCTCTCTGCACACCTGGCTCAATGTTATTATAATCCTACACAGGTCACACTGTTCTGCTAGTACTCTGACCCACTCCTCTCCTTGCCCAGTGTTCTCCAGCATGCATACTTGTCTTAATGTATCTTCTGCTTGTGCCATTCACGATTTCCCCTTTTCAGCCTCCGACTCTTGCCTGCAGCCAAAGCTTCATACAGAGGGTGTTCCCTGTCTGCAGCTACTCTGAGGTATGACTTAGCCTACAGCACCTTTATCTGCAATTGTCGGCAATGCAAGGATCTAGAATATGGAAATAGCACCCATATTGTTACAGACCAATGGGCA